CCTAACTGCAACAGAACGGCAGAGTCACTTGCTGTCTTCAAGAAACGACTTAAAACTCAACTATTTAGTCTCCACTTCACTTCCTAATCTGCAATTGCCTCTAGCTATACCACTAACTGTACTAAAAAAAAAAATAATAATAATAATTCTTACATTACTAATGCTTTCCTTCTTAGACTTTACAGCCCTGAAACTTGCCTACAGCACTTATTTATTGTTGCTCTTATAGTTGTGATAATTGCTTCCTTGTCCTCATTTGTTAGTCGCTTTGGATAAAAGCGTCTGCTAAATGACTAAATGTAAATGTAAAACAGCGAGCTGTGTACACGCCCTTAAAATGACACATTATAACACATTATAATAAAAAAATCTGGATTGTGTTTTGAACTGAACCTAGACTGGCACACTCAGAAGAACCATAATAATAATGTTAAATCATTAAAAAAGGGGTAAACTATGTGCCCTTTAAGCAATGTGTTTACTTTATTAATTATTCAATAATCATCAAGATTGATAAAAAAGTTCAACACACACAGCAGTGAACGTGTGCACACACACATCAGTGAACATGTATACACACACACACAGTTGGTACAGTAGGCCTACATACTGTATCTACCTTGGAAGAAGTGATATGGTTCTTAAAGTGTTGTTTTACGTATGGAGCCTGATTGAATTTTATTATAGTGTCTTCGTAAAAACATCTGTCCATAATTCCTGAAAATAGAAAAAATATATATATAAATAAAGAAACTGCAAAGAAACGATTCAATCATATTAAAGAGATTTGAACTAACCTTCTAACACAACTAGCGGTCCAGGTCCCTGATGGAATATGACTCCCCAGACATGAATTTTTACTGGATGCTTTGCTTTCGGGTTCACAACATGGCGGTTTATTAATAGGGTATGTCCTATTAATAAATTTGTAGGACATGTAAGCTCGTATAAAGCAAATAGCCTAAATAAAGAGATGCATGGATTAATGTAAATAAATAAATCTTTTCATTATGGCATTGTTCAAAATGGCTTACCTGGCTTTTCCAGAGGTCCACCTGAGTTGTTTTACTGGTTTTCTAATATTGCAGACTGATGCTTTTAACTGTATTCTAAACAGAAGCTCACTCTGAATCTTTTTAGCAGATCGCTATTGTGGATTGTGCTGCACAGCCAACTTAAAAGGGACTGCATCAAAGACAACCCAGGTGGCACATACTAAAAACAACAAGAACAAAAAGTATTTATAAAAAAGTAAGAATTTTTTTTGGCACAGCAGGGTCTTTCTTCAGGGCTCGTTGGTCAAGGGGTATGATTCTTGCTTAGGATGCGAGAGGTCCTGGCTTCAATCCCCCGACGAGCCCTACAGCTGTCACAGAAAAAGCAGTGGAACTTTGGCATTTCTACTTTAATTGTAGCACCTTTTGCTGTGACTTTAGTTAATGAACATTTAGTGGACTTCTAATTTAAATTAGTTTAACATGTACAATTATACAGACAAAACCGTCTGCTACCCTCAGGCAGATGGTTCCGCAGCATCTGGTTACGCACCAGCCGGCTAAAGGAAAGTTTCTTCCCTCAGACTATCAGGCTGATGAACACTTAACACACAGGCTCTTCCATACCCTCACTGCACACCATCGATATGTAGCATGCACTGACCTTTAGCCAATCCATACTTGAAACAACACTGCCTACAACTATGTGGACACCTATTCATTGTACATATCGCTGTCAATTTCACATTGTCATTTTATTTGTCTGTTATTTGTACTGTCGTTGTATTTGCACTGTCATTGTTTTTGCACTATCTGTATTTTTTACTGTTTGTACAGATAATTTTTCATGATTTTTGGTGAAATTTTCATGATTTTTGGTGATTTTTCAAGATTTTTTCATGATTTTTCAAGATTTTTTCATCTTTCATGATTTTTCGTGATTTTTCAAGTTTTTTCATTTTTCATTTTTTATGATTTTTCTTGATTTTTCATGATTTTTTGATTTTTTTATGTTTTTTCAAAAATTTTTCATTTTTCGTGATTTTTCGCTATTTTTAAAAAAAATTTCATTTTTCTTGATTTTTTGTGATTTTCATATTTTACGATTTTTCAAAAAATTTTCATTTTTTGTGATTTTTTGCGATTTTTCAAAAAATTTTCATTTTTTGTGATTTTTCAAAAAAATTTCATTTTTGTGATTTTTCAAAAAATTTTCATTTTTTGGGATTTTTCAAAATTTTTTCATATTTTGCGATTTTTCAAAAAATTTTCATTTTTTGCGATTTTTCAAAAAAATTTTATATTTTGCAATTTAAAAAAAATTTTTCATTTTTTGCGATTTTTCAAAAATTGTTCATATTATGCGAATTTTCAAAAATTTTTCAGTTTTTGTGATTTTTCAAAAAATTTTTATATTTTGCGATTTTTAAAAAAATTTTCATTTTTTGTGATTTTTAAAAAAATTGTCATATTTTGCGATTTTTCAAAAAAATTTCATTTTTTGCGATTTTTCAAAAATTGTTCATATTTTGCGATTTTTCAAAAATTTTTCAGTTTTTGTGATTTTTCAAAAAAATGTTATATTTTGCGATTTTTCAAAAAAAAAATTCATTTTTGTGATTTTTAAAAAAATTTTCATATTTTGCAATTTTTCAAAAATTTTTCATTTTTTGTGATTTTGCGATTTTTCAAAATAATTTCATTTTTTGTGATCTTTCAAAAAAATTTCATATTTTGCGATTTTTCAAAAAATGTAAATTTTTTGTGATTTTTAAAAAAATGTTCATTTTTTGTGATTTTTTGCGATTTTTCAAAAATTGTTCATATTTTGCGATTTTTTAAAAATTTCATTTTTTGCGATTTTTCAAAAAATTATCATATTTTGCGATTTTTCAAAAAATTTTCATGTTTTGTGATTTTTCCAAAAATTTTCATGTTTGCGATTTTTCAAAAAAAATTCATATTTTGCGATTTTTCAAAAAATTTTAATTTTTTGTTATTTTTTTGCGATTTTTCAAAAAATTTTCATGTTTTGCGATTTTTCAAAAAAATTTTATATTTTGCGATTTTTCAAAAAATTTTCATGTTTTGCGATTTTTCAAAAATTTTTCGTTTTTTTCCTATTTTTCAAAAATTTTTCATAATTTGTGATTTTTCAAAAATTTTTCATTTTTTGTGATTTTTTGCGATTTTTCAAAAATTTTTGCATGTTTTGCGATTTTTCAAAAATTTTTTATATTTTGCGATTTTTCAAGAAATTTTCATGTTTCGCGATTTTTCAAAAAATTTTCATATTTTGCGATTTTTCAAAAAATTTTCATATTTTGCGATTTTTCAAAAAAATTTCATGTTTTGCGATTTTTCAAAAAATTTTCATGTTTTGCAATTTTTCAAAAAAATTTTATATTTTGCGATTTTTCAAAAAATTTTCATGTTTTGCGATTTTTAAAAAAATATTCATGTTTTGCGATTTTTCAAAAAATTTTCATTTTTTGTGATTTTTTGCGATTTTTCAAAAAATTTTCATATTTTGTGATTTTTTGCGATTTTTAAAAAAAAATTCTTTTGTGATTTTTAGTGATTTTTCAAAAAATGTATATTTAGTGATTTTTTGCGATTTTTCAAAATATTTTCTTTTGTGATTTTTAGTGATTTTTCAAAAAATGTATATTTAGTGATTTTTTGCGATTTTTCAAAATATTTTCTTTTGTGATTTTTAGTGATTTTTCAAAAAATGTATATTTAGTGATTTTTTGCGATTTTTCAAAATCTTTTCTTTTGTGATTTTTAGTGATTTTTCAAAAAAATTTCATTTTTTGTGATTTTTCATAAAATCTTATATTTTTGCGATTTTTCAAAAAATTTTCATTTTTTGGGATTTTTCAAAATTTTTTCATATTTTGCGATTTTTCCAAAAAATTTCATTTTTTGCGATTTTTCAAAAAATTTTCATATTTTGCAATTTTAAAAAAAAATTTCATTTTTTGCGATTTTTCAAAAATTGTTCATATTATGCGAATTTTCAAAAATTTTTCAGTTTTTGTGATTTTTCAAAAAATTTTTATATTTTGCGATTTTTCAAAAAAATTTCATTTTTTGTGATTTTTAAAAAAAATTTCATATTTTGCGATTTTTCAAAAAAATTTCATTTTTTGCGATTTTTCAAAAATTGTTCATATTTTGTGATTTTTCAAAAATTTTTCAGTTTTTGTGATTTTTCAAAAAAATGTTATATTTTGCGATTTTTCAAAAAATTTCATATTTTGCGATTTTTCAAAAAAAATTCTTTTGTGATTTTTAGTGATTTTTCAAAAAATGCACATATTTTGCGATTTTACAAAAAAATTCATTTTTTGTGATATTTCAAAAAATTTCATATTTTGCGATTTTTCAAAAAAATTTCATTTTTTGCAATTTTTTGCGATTTTTCAAAAAATGTTCATTTTTGTGATTTTTCAAAAAATTTTCATATTTTGCGATTTTTAAAAAAAAAAAAATTTGCGATTTTTTCAAAAAATTTTCATATTTTGTGATTTTTTGCGATTTTTCAAAAAAAATTCTTTTGTGATTTTTAGTGATTTTTCAAAAAATGCACATATTTTGCGATTTTACAAAAAAAATTCATTTTTTGTGATTTTTCAAAAAATTTTCATTTATTGTGTTTTTTTGCGATTTTTCAAAAAATTTTCATATTTTGTGATTTTTTGCGATTTTTCAAAAAATTTTCATATTTTGTGATTTTTTGCGATTTTTCAAAAAAAATTTTGTGATTTTTAGTGATTTTTCAAAAAAATTTCATATTTTGTGATTTTTTGCGATTTTTCAAAAAATTTTCTTTTGTGATTTTTAGTGATTTTTCAAAAACTTCATTTTTTGTGATTTTTTGCGATTTTGTAAAAAAATTCATTTTTTGCGATTTTTCAAAAAATTTAATTTTTTTGAATTGTTTATTATTTTTTATTTTTCGTGATTTTTTGTGCTTTTTCAAGATTTTATCATTTTTCATGATTTTTCTTGATCTTTCAAGATTTCATTTTTCGTTATTTTTCTATGTTTTTTCATTTCTCGAGATTTTTCATGACACTGAAGCGGTTCCAGCAGTACATTCTCAGCAAAGATATAGGCTTTATTTTATTTTTTTAACTACTTTATTAAAAATATATATCATGCTGGCAACATTTCATGCAAACTACAACTTGTAACTCACAGAAACCCCCAAAGGACAGGCCTTTTCCTGCAGTGGCGGCCAGCTCCAGCTCATCGGGTTCTAGAGGTGACGGTGGATGCGCAGATGATGCGCTACTTGTGAAAAACCCTCAATGCTTTTGAAGCACAAGGTGCACAGCAAATTCATTGGTGTTCAATTTTTAAGTGTTGTGGTAATTCAGTGATGAGTTGTTTAATGTGATGAGTTGTTTTAAAGATGTTGAAAATAAAAATAAATTTTATTGTGTAATTTGTTTTTTTTTTTATTATTCATTATTATTTTATTTAAAGTTTTATTCTCAGTTGATTTCATCTTTGGTTTTGGCTACTGCTGCCAGTATTTTGATATACATTTTACATATATTTTACACAATAAGAGTTTGCTAATTAACACTCTCTGAGTGGTAAAAATTTTTTAACACTTTCAAAAGTGTTATTTTAACACTTTTATAGTGGTTCCCATATAAACACTGAGGGAGTGTTAATTTGAACTCTAAGGTAGTTAAATCTACAATCTAAAATTTGCAGTGTGTATAACCCTTTATTATTGTCTTTAATTGTTTATGTACCATAGCATAATCAATGAAACACAACATCAAAACACTGTGCTGATGAGATTGTCTTCTTGCTGCTTTGACACTGACTTTTGCCTATCTTGTGTTTTTTTTTTGTCCTTCTTTAGCAGTTGAGGACAAAGGCGGTCTGCCGAAGAAACCACTCAGCTCCTCTGAAAGACAAGGTATATCACATAATAAATGTCACTTATTAACATTTATTCATACTGTTGCAGCATGAACTACAGTTGAGGACACTCCTGTGAAATATTTATTCAAGCTAATGGAGCAAGTACATTTTCACAGTACTTACGATAGTATATTATCTTCTGAAGAAAGTTTTATTTGTTTTATTATTTATGTTTTTTTATTGGCTACAGAACAAACAGTGTTAAGCTAGTTAAGCCTTTACTTTCTCAATCTGAATATGGTAACACTTCAGTATAATAGTCCTTTAGTTAATCAATTTACTAACACTGTCACCAATCTTGTGCCGCATTTTTTAATTACAGTTCAACATTAATGCATTATTAAAATCCAAAGTTGTGCTTGTTGACATTACTTAAAGCACAGTGCATTAATGAACTAACGTTATTTAACTTAAACATTAAATCATTAACAAAGATGAATATATACTGTAATTAATGTATTAAACTTCTAAGTCATGTCAGTAAATGCATTAACTAATATTAACTAATGGACTATTACTCTAAAGTGTTACCTTAAAGGGTAACACTTTACAATAAGTTTGTATTAGTTAATGTCAAAGCATTTACTACCATAAACAAGCAATGAACAATACACTTAATACAGTATTTGTTCGTGTTACAGTCATCCATGCCAACTCACAGTCCATCAACTAAGCATTAAATATTATTTTAATAAAGCATTAGTACATGTTGAACTATGATTAAAAATGTTGTACAAGCATTGTTCATAATTAGTTCATGTTAGTAAATACATTATCTAATGAAACCTTATTGTAAAGTGTGACCCAATATTATATACTGTCATCATGGCAAAGATAAATTATAAGAAATTAGTTATTAGAACTATTATGTTTAGAAATGTGCCTGAACAAGTCCTCTCTCCATTACACATAAATTGTGAAAAATAAACTCAAATTTAACAGGGGGGCTTATAATTCCGGCTTCAACTGTATGCATTAATAAATAAAAGTCGTCACACTAAGACACTGTGTTCTGATAATCACAACTGTGCTCATTTAGGAGCCAGGGAAGCAAAGAGAAGAAAACGTTCCTGTGAAGATCTTTCACAGAAGCCACACTCAGACTCTCCACTGTCTGCTGTAAGTTCATCGTTTGTACATCACAATTAGGTGGTGTATATACTCTTGAATACAGTTTTGTGAGCATAGATGGGGAGACTGTGCAAAAAGTATGATTATGTCAATGAAAAAGGTTTTAACTATTATACTTACTTTGTTGAAGGCTCCTGCATCGACTTCTTTATTGGAGGCTCCTGCATCAGCCTCATCAGTTCCTGGCCAGTCTTCTTCATCGGCTCCTGCATCAGCCTCATCAGTTCCTGGCCAGTCTTTTTCATCGGCTCCTGCATCAGCCTCGTCAGTTTTTGCCTCGGCTTCTTCATCGGCTCCTGTATCAGCCTCATCAGTTCCTGCCTTGTCTTCTTCATCAGCTCCTGTATCAGCCTCATCAGTTCCTGCCTTGGCTTCTTCATCGGCTCCTGTATCAGCCTCGTCAGTTCCTGCCTTGGCTTCTTCATCGGCTCCTGTATCAGCCTCGTCAGTTCCTGCCTTGGCTTCTTCATCAGCTCCTGTATCAGCCTCGTCAGTTCCTGCCTTGGCTTCTTCATCGGCTCCTGCATCAGCCTCATCAGTTCCTGCCTTGGCTTCTTCATCAGCTCCTGTATCAGCCTCATCAGTTCCTGCCTTGTCTTCTTCATCAGCTCCTGTATCAGCCTCATCAGTTCCTGCCTTGGCTTCTTCTGACGTTCAACCTAGAAGGTCATCTGGTGGGTCAACACACAGTGACCCAGCACATTCTGAGGTAACTGTCAAAGTACTCTGTGGATGTTAAGATAGGAAAAATGTATACTTTAATACTAAAAAAATCAACTTTAATTGATTTTAACACAGTTTTGTCTCGGTTATTCTAATTACCAGGTGTCATTTGAGGGTTGGCACAAGATGTGGGAGTCTGGACATACTGTGGCTGAAGGAGGATGCTGAAAGGGGACTCTTTCAGAGGGCCATGTCTTATAAAGACAAATATGGAAACAGAAAGTGGAGGAAAGTCCTGAAGGATGACCGGATGTGGTTTCACCCTCCAGAATTTCCTGGAGTGGTGGAAGGAAAAGTCCCCTCAGCAGACTCCTTTTTTCGCAGCTACGTTTTTTTCTGGAGACCAGTCGGTGTGTGGCGTTACAGTCTTCGGTGCCCAAGGTCTGACTGCCCAGCACGCACCAATCAGAAGGCTTTTCTCTACCGTTGTGGGTATTCATCCACGGTAAGACAGATCTGCCACATGTCTGGCTGGTACTCCATGCTGACTGAGGTCCTGGCATGCAACGCCTGTAGAAAGGCTGCAAAGGAGTCGGAAGAGCATACTATTGGTCATTTCCTGTCATGGGATCAGTGCATCCTTAATCAGCTCAGTCCAGCTCACAGAGCGGTGTTTCCTGCTGTCTTGACGCTACACTGTTAAAATTGTCCCGTTAAAAAACAGTAAAATACTGGCAGCTGCAGTTGCCAGCAATGTACTGTTATTTTACAGTATGTTGCTGTAAAAATACATTTACACAATACTCAAGTGAACTCATTTTGCTCACTGAAAGCAACTGTCTCAACTTGGTCAACTGCTGAATGAGTTTATGAAGTAATGTGCTATATATGCTTAGAAGCATACTTATAATGATAACTTATTTTAGTTAATTAGAAAAGTTCGGTTTAACTCTAATGTCTTATTTTTCACAACAGCACACATACATGTAAATCTGGAATCACCAGAGAGATTCTGACTGCATCAGCAACTAAACAGCCGCTATCTTTAAATAGAGAAACATGCAGAATAACATCAGCAGTTCATTGTTCATCTTTAACTCATACACTGGCTCTACTCTACTCCACAACGGTGACAGACAGAAGAAATTAGCTTCAGGTTTTACAGTAAAATACTGTTTTTTCCTTGATTTAACAGTAATCTACTGGCAGTTGTGGTTGCCAGCATTATACTGTTTTTTTACAGTCTATTTCCGTTGTGTAAATTAACAGTATATTACTGTTAAAATACATTTTTACACTGTGTTTTTACCTCTCACACCTTTAACCCTTTAAACCCCAGAGCAAATACTTCAGTTTTAATTGAAGTGTCCACACTACTGAGTGTTCAAGAAACATGGAGCAAAGCTGAAGTAAATTCATTAATTAACTGACTAATTAAATGATAATTGAGGATTAACAATGAACAAATGAAGAAATACTGAAGGGAAAAAACAAGAACAGAACATACAAAACTTTAGTCACAGCTTTATAATGAAATAACCTGAAGAACAACAAATGATTAAATCATTTAAATGATCAGCGGATGATTAAACAACTCTACAAACATCATCACCAGCTACACTTATTACTTAATACATGTATTTTTGTATAACATCTACTAAAGTTCTTCTTGAGAAAAAGTTAAAGTTTTACGTCACCATCATGGAGAACAGAGTTTGCTTTAGTTGGGCTCTTAGCCCTGTCATTCTTAACATTTATTGTTTTTACATTTGTAACATTAACATCTTGGCTGCTGCAATTGTTAAGAACTTTGTTTAAAAAGCTCTTTTAATGTGGCAAGCCAGCCAAAAACCTAAATAAGATCTGGTGATGTTCATGTTGCTATTAAATGGCAGAGTCTGTTCTCATTTAGTATAATAAAATTTACTGCCTCTATTCAATGTTAGATCTATTGTTTTACATTATATGTCTTTATATGGCAATGATTTCTGGAAGTTTTTAAGAATATCTTGGACAATAACACTGCTCTATTATGTAAATCGCACTCAAAGAGACATCAATAATCAGCATATGAACCTCAATAATGGTGACAACTAACAAAATTAACAGTTTCACTCACAAACAGGCAACTGAAAGTCTAAACATAAACAACAGCAGAATCAAACACAAATAAAGAAAACTGTGAGACCATTATACAACATTTATTTATACCGCAATGCATGCTAGGATATTTGTACTGTGCCACTCCCAGCATGCATTGCAGCATATAACATTTGAGATGTTACCATTGTTAAGATACAAGGTCAGATTCATGAGGTCTGAGTGTGTATTTGTTGTAACTGAACTGTTTTTGTATGTTATTTCTTAACTGTTAAGTAATTACGGAGGTATCTTTTCTGTTTTCACTTCTCATTAATTAAATTAATACCTGCAACTAAGCATAAAATCTATTGAATGTGGCCCTTCTTCCAGATTTATAACAAAACATTTATCAGAACTAATTTCAGACAAAGAGATTTCTCTATTTATTGACTTCCCGACTTGATTGCTATAATACACGCATTTTGTTAACTCTTTATTATAGTAATTGGAGAGTCTGAATTAATAAGTTCAAGGGTGAAGAGCCCAACTAAACCAGCCCCTCACTCCATTACGGTGACACAAAAAACACCTTAATTTCTGTTGGATCTCAATGAGAATAGTATGGAAGTCAAATCAGTCAGTAATAAGTGTGTCTGCTGTTGTTTGTGGAGTTGTTTAATGATCCTCTACTGAGACTGAAGCTGTTTTATTTTATTTTATTTTATTTAATGTTGTAACTCATGTCACTGTTTGTGTTTCTTGTTTATTTTCTTCAGTAATTGTAATTATTAACAGCAGGTGTTTATCAGTGTCTGAATTCACTCATTAGTGTTCATTAACTCTGTCAGGTGAACTATATTAGTTAACTAGTGTATGAATTAGTGAACAAGGACACAAAGTGTGATTTCAAACACAGACTTCAAAACATCGAATTTGAACTCTGTTAGCTCACAGTTTTCTGCAGTTGGTTACTTTCTCGAAAACAAAAAAATGTTACCCAGAAAGCACTGTTTTTAACAGAATATTACTGTTTTAGTGAAAAAACATTATTTTACCGTAGAATCTGACCGTTTTTTAACAGCAATTTTTTACAGTGCACCAACCTTTCAGTTAACAGCCGATTGCAC